GAAGCAATAACCCCAACAATCAACATAGGCCACTCAATCCCCTTCTCGTATAATGGTCTGAGGGTAAGTATCAAAGCAGCTTCAGCGCCACTATATATGATGCCCGTCCCCAAGGCTAGTAGGGAAGCAGTCCAGGCTCTCCATCCGTGGGCATAGCAAAGACATTGTGCCCATGAAATGAGGGATAGAGAGGCAAAAACCTGGGCTTGCACCTGTATAGGGATGTTGAGGTTTTGTACAATTGCGTAAGTTCCGAAGGGTACTCCTGCTATAGATTTTCAACCCTTAATAGATAGCTTTGGACGAGATGTGTTCCATGGGAAAACTTACAGGTTGCCCAAATGAACATCATTAATGCGGGAAGGCCTTCGGTGGATTTCGACCGATAGTTTCTCCATATCTGGGGGACGAGCTGGATACACCATAAGATAGTGCCTATAGTGCCGAGCACATTGGCTGCGACAGGAATAGATTCTTGTCGAGGCATTCGTCTTAGTGTTGTTTCTTTCTGGGGTCTGGGCTAATAGAATGCAGTTTTATTCTTCTTTCCTGCTATGAGATCAGAAAGTTTCCAATAGCTATCTGTATCAATTCTTTGTTATATTTATACTCTTCAGAGCTGAGGAGTCTTCGGGTTCGGGTAGTTAATAGCAGAAATTAACTTTTCAAAAGGCCGACGATGATGTCAGATCTGCAGATAAGTAAATAACGGACAGCTTCTCCGTGAAATCATCAAACGCAAAATAAAATAAAGCCCGAATCCAGTTTCTGGTGTGGGATATATGGGTGTGGAATTTCTCCGATCAGAGGTGAGAAACCAAGTGGTGCGATGTGAAAAAGTCAAAGAAAGGATACTGTAATGCCTTTTTTTATCAGGGATATCTATCTGGCTCCTTAAAATTCTAACCTCCTAGGTACATTCGAAAAGATGAACTAAGTACCCGAGATAGGTGACATATTGGGAAAAAGAAGCGAAGATAAAGCCACAACGCTAGACCTAGAATCGGCAAAATATTGTGAGGCAAGCCTTATCCAGCAACCTAGGCTCCGTAAACCACCGAAAGTTGGAGGAGAGAGGGATCCTGTTTTAGACAGAGCCAATGATAAAAAGGCCAATGATCTCGAATTCAACAACTACATATATTATCACACCTAGAGGGACATTTTCCTGAATATGAACTTGCGGCAGCCTTTGTCATGACTTTTGACTTTTCGATATTCGAAACCTGGATCGAAATGTGCAATCTAACTACCATGTTGGGAAGGCCGGGCGAGAGGAAGTGGAAGGTATTCGCGAAATGTTTACGTAGCAAAAATACACGACGTCGCTTGTTCGCTTGTATGCGGCTCTGACCTGAGACGCAGCCGAAGCCGACCGTGCATGTGGCCCGTGCCCAGGCATAGGGCTGTTGATTTATCATCATTTGTACTTTAGGATAACGTGACTTAAGCATAAACTAAATGGGGAATTAAGTCCCACAAGTCATGTCTAGCTAGAGCCTAGGGACACACTCCACCTAACGATCAGTAGAGCTAAGTAGGGAATATAGATAGTATTCTTTAATATTGTTACCGCCGGTGCATCATGAAGCATATTATACCAAGATATAAGGCTAGAAATGCTACATTATGTATATATAAAAACGAGAACAAAAGAGTCTCTATATACTCGCTTATATTGAGTACATGTGGAAAGGACTACATGCATACATGTAGCTGCATATATGTACACATACAGTGACATACTGCTTGGAGAACTTTACCCGTACTTAATAGCAAGTTTTTTCAACCCCGACTAGCTTCATAAGATAGAAAGGGTTCAGTTGTTTGGCCCATCCGAAATCCAATTGAGCTTCGGGATGGATAAGGGGTCGATTATGTATATATATGTGTATGTAGCTACTAGCGCTAGCTATAGGTGGAGGAGGAGGATGGCAAGGAGGAGCAGAACCGGCCACAGATAGTCACTTAGTGCACCAAACCATACATTTAGCTATAAAGTAATGGCGTTCCAAATCATGAAAGATCACTCAGCTAGCATGATGAAGTCACCCCCGTAAGCTCTGTAACGGTATAAGAAGATCCAGAGCCCTTTCTCGTCTGTCCGAGTGGGTTTCACTATCTAGCAATAGAATAATGATACCAAAGCCCTCCTACCCTTGCTAGATTAGATATCTCTTACCAGGACTTATATAATTATTTAATCATAAAATATCACTCGAAAATCACAGGACTGCGGAGATACCCTCCTGCTAAATCCATCTCAGCTCGTTCATGTGCTCTCGTCATGTAACACACAATCTACCTTAAAATTCTATTAATATGTGGTTGGCTCTGTATGTTCGGATCTCTTCGTCGTCTTGGATAGTATTAATCTCATTAGTACCCGTAAATAATGCATGTCGAACTTTAGTTACCTATGTAGTCGCGAAAGCTCCTGGCTGAGACGTCCGGGATAAGAACCTCTATGGAAAGATTTTAAGGATACATATATGTACATAGTTGTGTTACGAACATACACCAGTTCACACCTCCGTACACGTATCCTTTCTTTTAATGTGTCAATAATCACAACTACCCCCAGTGTTCCTATATGTAATTACAGTACCTACATATAATTTTACCAACGAATTCAAACCATTCACCTTCCACAACTAGACTAGCAACTCAGTATACTCCGTCTAACGCTGATAAAGAGGCGCCCTTCATCCTAGTCATCAAGCTAGTCAAACAATCTACGATTCGGTATTTTTCGAAGTTGCCCCAAAACTGACCATAGGCGCTTCAACATTTGGCAGCGACGTTAGTATGTACTATCCATTATGCTGTTAAAGCTGCCAACTTTGCCAAGTATCATGTCTCAATTCTGTGGCTTTCGTGCGAGGTTCGCCTGAGACCATGTCTCATGTTGGCAGCATTTAAGTAACAGCTTAAGGGATAAACGGATTGGTCTATCTGGATTAAAATACCAGCCCGACAGACCATAAACACTCTTCAATGAATCCTATATATCGCAAACATTCGTGACTGAACATTATATTATTATTACCCGCCCCTGGTCCCTGGACTAACCTAGCTTGCCTACCTATATACATTATAATTATTGGACATAAGGCACGTGCACCGTCATCTCACCGAAACGCACAAAAGTTTTGATGAAACGCTCGGAATACGTACATACATGTGCCTGTGAACTAAACTAGACCATTTGAAACCTCTTTTTAAGCTCGAGACTTCCAGTGGAGTTCGAGAAGCTACGTTTAGTAGAAGACAGAAATTTCATTCTGTCTATACATGTAATTGCAGACCTTCCATATGCATATAATCCAATGTAAGTGCTACATGGGAAGCTCTTCTAACCGGATCACACAACTACAAGTACTAGAACTACATGTACATGTACTTACATGTAGTGAATACATGTATCCATGTATGTACATAGACACTAGACCACACAAAGAAATTAAATTAAAGCTCGACTTCACTCAAAGAAATACCTACTCATTTACCTATCTATACCAATCAAAACCACTTCCAGCAATATAAAAGCAATCCAGGCGAACAAAATTCAACAGGGAAAAGAAATTGGAGGCTGGGCTAACCAATGCCACCCAATGATAATACAGTACAATGAAAGGGGGAACGATAGGGCGAACAACGATAAAACAGGAAAGCCGTAACTTTACAGAGCTAACGAAGAAGAAATGGAAAATAACCCTCAGATTCTTTTATAAGCCATAGCACCAGGAATAAACGTACGAGAATACGCATAAAGAGTATATAAAGAAAAGGAAGAAAGCGATAGGCCAATAGCCAATTACCATATCAAAACTGTTGCCTAGCTAGTATAAATAAAGCCATGGCGAAGGAGGATGAAGGGAAATATAAAGGTAATCAAAAAAGAAAAAAACCCGAAAATAGAATATAACCTCGAAAGATGATGGCAAGCTTTAAATCCACCTCTACATCCCAAATCCGCAAATCAAACAAAACCGCACACCGAACCTTACCCACAATGACCACACAAAAGAAAAAGAAAATACCATCAAAAAGCAGGAAGCAAAAAAGGACACCCATAAGCAATGCTCCCCTACCACCAGCCATAACCAGCAACCTCGTTTCTCCATTTCTCCCCGCTTGTGGAAACACGTTCCGCTGCGTTAAAAAAAAAAAAAAAAAAAAAAAAAAAAACTGTATAGTACTCAGGTTTTGGAAACATCATAGGACATCTTTATATCCTCCATTCAAACCTGTAGCTCACCCACATTAGAGGGGAAAGTATTTGACAAAGAAAATAGGCAGGTAATGAGGCGCAAAAACAGAGGAGAGAAAAGCCTTGCCAGAAGTTCAACATTTCTCCACCAGTAGTCTTGCATCATCCAGTCCTCTCCGCATCATTAAATGCTTGCATGGCCACCTCCATTTCCCCGCGTTTATTGGTACAATGGCGAAATCTTACTCACCCATCAATCCCTAGATGATGCCACTTACCTCCCAGAGCTCTTATTCCTATAAGGCCATGTGGAAAGTGCAAACATATATAGGGACGTAAACCGACAAGATGACAGCCATGAGAGACAGATGATATATCTAATTGATGAAAGAGGACGAGTAATAAAAGGGGGTAAAAGAAAAATGCCGTTTTGCCGTGAATCGCTCCATTTCCGTATTAATGAGTAAAAAGAGGAAAAGAAAAAAGTTACACCAAGAAAACACGCACATACACACAAACACTAGTGGTTTTAAAATGAAATAAAAAGAAAGAAACACAAGCATTCTGATAAAACCCCGCCACCGTGAATCCCAGGTATAGAAAATAAAGGAAAAGAAAAAAGGAGAAGATTGATCACAAGGGTCAAAAAAAAAACTGAAAACAAAACAAAAATGGCCTATCCCTCTCCTGCGCCAGATTCATCCCTTCTTTTGTCGTAAGTATTCACAAGTTCATTATACACGCCGCACTTCCGAAAGGAAATGAGAGCAACCGAAATGGCATCGGCTCAGCCACCCTTTCGTTCGATTTCATTCAATGGGACGGAATCTACTGTTTTCTGAACCACTGGCTTTCTTCCCTTGCCGGTATTTCCTATCCGTTCCCATGAGCCATTCTTTGCGCCGGACCTTGGGCCGGCATTTGCTTTAGTGCCACTACTTGCCGTTCCATTCCTTTGCTTCGAACCAGCTCCATTTTTTGAAGTCGATTTTTCGGTAGGAGTTGGAGAAGGTTTTTCCGAACTATTGTTAGATCGGACTGGCTTACGACCGCGCCCATTTTTATGCTGCTGTTTAGTAGGAGCGTCATTCTTGTCGTCCTTTTTAGGTATCGGTGAAGGCGCCAAGACATCAGGTACAGGTGTAGGTGGTACATCAAGTTCCTCTTGGGGCAAGCCGCAACCCTTAGGCTTCAAGGTGTCTATTACTGGGACTCTAGTGTTACTCCAAAGTAACTGTTGAGTAGCTGCACGCTGTCGAAGATTGGGAGATAATCGTGTGGAATTGCTAGGCTCAGTTGTTTCATCATCCGAAATCAACTGTAAAGGGCGGGATTCCGCTTTTGGCGATGATAGAATACTGGGGTCGGATATCGAGGTGTCAATGTGTTGTTGAGCCATATTGGAAGCTGTCGGATCATTCTCAGAGCGACCACCAGCCGCTTGTGTATGCACCTCCAACAGCTTCTGGGCATATAATTGAGTGTGTCCAGAACTTTCTTTAGATTCCGTGGCTGCTACATCTGATGTTCCATCTGATCCATGACAATCTATACTTGGAGGTGATCCATCGTAGGAATAAAGGGTCTCCGATGAGGGTGAGAGATTTGAGAAAGGAGTATCTGTGTAAGTCGAGGATGACACTGGAATTGACCCATTGACGATCACAGGACCACGATGGTCATTTAAACGATCACGAGAAGGAGAGGCATTTTCCAAACCAAGAGCACCCGATGCATCTCGTGACGTTCCTAATAGTGGCGTTGGTAGCTTCTCCTGCGATAAACGCTTTTGCCGGTCTACTAAGCTCTTTTGTTCTAGAAAAGGCTCCTCCTCCTCCTCAACTGAATCTACAACAGCAGGTACATGTTGTAGTGAACCACCAATGTCATAGTAGCCCACATACTCATCTTGTTCCTCTGCTGGAGGTGTTACTGGATTCCCGTTTGAGGAATGATCGGCAAAATCTTCATCCTCCGATCCAGGCGCTCCAACTGTAGATGTTCCATTTCCGTAACCTGGGTTTGGGTACATATCAGGAGGCGGTTGTGATTGCGATCTTGGGCCCGCACTATACCCATTTTGACGCCTTCCTCGACCATGCCCGCTCCTGGTATCGTTTGCAATATGCGGGGACGTTGGCGTTGAAGAGCCTTCGGAATGTAAAGGACCAGGATAATAGAGATTCATTCCCCAGAGCTGGGCAAAATACGCATAAGATGCCAACGGATGTAAGGCAAGAGCGTCTTGGTGATTTTGCGCAGAGCCCAATGAATTAATGGAAGCTGCGGATGACTGTGACTGTTGACCGTACGTCTGAGCGTGGACTTGTGCATGCTGAACAGCCTGTGCTTGAGCAATCGCCTGGGCACGTACGTGTGCTTGGTGAAATTGTGCTTGTAAAGCAAGGATTTGGTCTTGTGGTGTATGTATGTATCCAAAAATATCTTGCGGGAGATATTGTTGAGATAACTGAGCGCCATAAGTCCCATTAGAAGCCCTTTTATTTTGATTTGGCCTGTTGTTGTGGTTGCCATGGCTGTTATGATTGTGACTATTGTGATTGTTGTGGTTATTGTGGTTACTGTGGTTGTTGTGGTTATTGTTGCTGTTATTGTGCCACTGCGGTCCCCTTCCCCTTCCACCATTTCCATTAAACTCACGTCGCTTTATATGGCTCGAGTTACTTCTAGCGATAGATATAGGACGATGTTGGGGCGGATGTGACGGTAACGGCAGATGTGGTTCCTCGGGTGGGAATACAAAGAGTTCCAAGCAGGCAGCTAGATCAGCTTTCTCTGCTAAAATCTGATACACTTTTCTAAATTCTTGATGTAAACCTCTCCATGAGTAATCGTCTGCAGTGTTTCCAAGATTCCGAGAGGTGTTGAATGGTTCCTCAACGCAGAGTCTGTTATTTTGCTTGAATTGCCACTCTTTTTCTTCCTTTGTCAAAAGTTTCCCATGTCTTACTGATATCACACTGGTATCATAATCCAAGTCATACCCGTACTTCTTGAAAAAAGCAAAAATCAATTCGCCAAGGGTTTCCTTATTGTTCATGCCAAACCCCCTCAACGCTTCGATATCATCATCAAATGAGATGTCGACTCCACTTATAGGCGGCCTTTTCTTGTGAGGCCTTTGATGCAATGAAGGGAGAATAGGAGGGTCTCTAGTCTGAAGAAAGTTTAAGATCATGCAAATCCACGTGTATGAACTTAATGTTCCACCGCCAGCTAATATGACATGTTAATTTCCGAAGCCTATATTTGATTCAATAAAAATCTGCTTACCAGCATCGTTCAACGATCTTTGTTTTGTCCAATGTTTGATAATCATTGCCAGGGGGCGAACTCGATCATCGATTTCAACATAGGTCTTGATCATTTTGGTATTGTCCAGGGCAAGTGTGTTGTTGATATTCATGTCGCAGGCAACTTCGTATTCTGGATCCCATACCTTTACGATAGGAACTTTTGCTCCAGGAACACAAACAACTCTTTCCATGCCATCTACCAGGACCGTTAGACACCATAATACTAGCCTCGATCATATGAGTACAAACGTTTAGCAAGTGTTCTTGCCAGCCTACAGACGTGGTTGAATTCTTTCCAAGTTGTTGTTATACACACATCCACTGTACGATGTCAGCAAGATGTTCTTACATAAGGCGTATAAATGTGCTCGGTACCGTCGGAATCGCTCATGCAGAGATGATTTTCTGTTGAGCCAAAAGCGTGCACTTTTATGTCATGGCCTGGCCATTCATCATTCAGAAGCCTTTCAAGCTTGACCAAAAATCGCCTCCGTCTCTCATTGCTCCCACTATCTGGTTTTAGTACTTCAAATAAGTCAAGCATATCCTTTGTTAGCTTAGCCTCCTGCTCAGGAGCCAGCTTTTCCAGCTTTGGCCTCGCAGGAGCGATTTTATCATTACCAAGAGCATAAGGCATCCGCCTACGTGCGTTGACCAATGCAGTCTCATATATACACCCGCTAACTGGCGGTTTATATGGGGTTACTGTGACGGGTTCTGATAGTGCTGATCTTGGGGAATCAAGAGGGCATGATGGCGAAGGACTTCGAGAAAGCCCGTTCGACTGGCGAGGATTATGATTGGGCGTTGATGGCAACGAGCTTGATTGAATTGACGAATTTGATCGATTGTACTTCAATGAAGGCCTCTGAATTGCTATCGACTGTCCTCCTTCATTCCTCCTTCCTTGCATGGCCGGTGTGCTATGTTTTGAGCCAGCTGTTTGATTGTGGTAACTCCTTCGCCCATTCCCTTGTACCGTCCCCCCAGTTCCTCGATTTCGCTCTGGTGACTTTGAATTTTGCCGTCGGCGAGCGGGAGGGTAAACTTTGCGAGATTGAGAATTGACTCTAGTCTGTTGAGATTGTTCTGTCGAGAAGCTACGGGGCTGGATTGTAAGCTCTTGATGTGGTGACAGTAAAGGAAGAAATTGTTGTGAGGGAAATGTTGGAGCGGGCGAAGCAACAGGCTTGATAGTTGAAGATTTGGGTGAGCCAACTGTATACCGTCTCAAGGGACTGCTTGGTTCAAGAATCTGAGGAGAGTGTGTCTGCTGCTGATGAAGAGACGGGGGAGCACCCGTTCCAACGTTCAACGTCATAAAACTTCAGGGAGTTGAAGGAGTTTGGGTTGTAAGGGCTTAGTATGGGCACTGCCTTGGGGACAGAGAGTCAATAAGCCCTTCGGGAATAGTGTTAAGGCCAGCAGTGAAGATTGGACGGTGGCGTAGGGACGGTTGAATACGGTATCACGGAGCAAAAGTCCCACACCCAGCTTCAGTAGGAGAAGCAAGAGTAAAAAGAGAGGGAGATTCGGCCAGCGAAGAGGGACCGAAAATCTGGGACTTGACAAGGTATCTTATATCAATGCCGATGAGGGGCAAAGGTATAGGCGTATTGAGATGGGAAGGGGCGAGGAGGGGCACCCAGAAACCAGTAGAAACAGAAAGGGACTACAAATTTCAGAGCTTCAAAAAAACAGTTGACGTAGTTAAAACGGGGTACCGTAATAGGAGAAGTGTGATGGAGGTAAAGGCAGGGGGTTAAGAAAGAGAGGGAGGGCAGTAGGAGGAGAACGGAGGAGAAGGTGGAAGGATATAGGGCGCAAGAGAGGGAGAGGAGGGACAAAAGGGTAGCGTTGGTGTGGTGAGCAACGGATTGCAGGCTAACTCCTAAGTGACGGAGAGGGTTTGTTTGGGAGGAACGTAGGGCGACCTAGAGAGCGGTGTGGGAACTAAGAGCGAGGGAGGGTGTGCGTGAGTGGAGGTTGTTAGTAGAGAGCGCGAAGTTGCTTGAACGCTTGAACGAAGTAGCACGGTGTGCACCGACAGCAGAGAAGCAAAGGCAGCAGAGAGCTGTCTGTGCTATGTAGAATCGTTGTTCAACTATCTGATACTACATGTACATATTATACATACTCCCATCTTTGTCAGAACAGTAAGAATTCAGGATCAGCTACAACATGTATCTACACGTAGCTGGCAAATCGATGTCTGACAGCCCCTGCGGTGTTCCTGTTCCTGACCCTGCTGTTATTTCTGCTGTTCCTGCTGTTCCTGCGACTTGTCCTTTTTCTTTTTCCCTAGGAATTTATTTTCGACCTTGATTTATTTTATTCCCCCTTTTCTTGTCCCCACACTTTCCACGTTGCCCACCAGGATGCCTAGGTCATAAACACCCTCTGTGCTCTCTTTCCTTGTTAATTACAGGAGTTAGGAGGCAGGTTCACCATATGCTAGAAGAAATATAAAAGTCCTTTCGATATCAGCTACTTACTTGAAATATAACTTGATCATTTACGTCACAGCCGACCCAAGTAGGATCGTACATGCACACACTAGGGAAAAAAACCAAGACAACCAACGAAATAATTAAAACCGAAGGAAAGATAGAACCAAGAGGAGACACGAATCAAAATACGAGTATTAAAAAAAAGGATTCCGTATCCCCGGGCACTGGCCATAGGTACATGTATCTGGCCCTGGCGGATTAATGGGTTGAGGTTGACAACTTTCCCGAGCATCGCTGCACCCCGGCCTGCAGTCAGGCACACTCCGAAAACAAATGACTGTCGAACGCAGGGCCTGGTGGTTACTATGCAGAAAGAGTAAAAAAAAAAAGTGGAGAAGTGTGTGAGGCATTCCGAAATAGGTGCACAGAAGACAAAACCAGATCCAAAGGTACAACGTAATAGCATCAACCTTGTGGTAGACTTATTTCTAGATGCTGTATTCTGTCTGACGCCTACTGTGAGTATTACTCTTGAAATATTCTGGCCGATTGATGAAGAAACATTCGACCAGCTGATTCTCAGCTAGGTTCAACTAATGCTTACAGATTAGAGTTCTGTTAATGACCATTCAGGGCGAGATGCAGTTCTACAAGGCCAGGAGTAAATGGCCTTCTTATTTGCTGTCTCTTGACTGCCGTTTACAGATATCTCTCTTACATCAAGTGACCTGGAAAAAACCAACTTCATGAGAAATCCCGGCTTTTGATGCGGTGTTCCTCACGGTTCAGAAACACCTACATTGGGCCTCGACAGAACCTTCCATCTCTTTATGGTTGTTTCCAGAAGGACTATAATTATACTCATAAAGAATAGTGCCCGAGAAGCTAAGAAAACAAATCAGGGCTGGCACCCATAAGCCATGATATTTTAGAATCGCGGAAGCTGAGAAGTGCACTCTCGCTGACAAGAGGACCATCTTAAGAAAGCGTGGGGCCCGGAACTGCCGTGGTGAGATCTCTCGATGACGGGTGAAATCCGATGGACTTTGGGGAACAGGAACGGAGAGCCAAGTTTACCCAGCCGGATAAAAATGAGGTTATGAGGTTTAAGGACTGCATGTAGCGAACCAATGCAAAGGATACTGTTACAATTATCTCATGGAAGGAAAGACGCCAAACAAAAGAGAGGCCTCTTAGCGATCCCCTCACCCTCAGCATGGACCTACGACATGGGGTGGTGCAGGTTGTACAACATGGGAGGGAGACATGACTACTCTACTCGTACATACATACTGTGCCAGGTACTCGACCGACAGTCTACACCACATAACTTATCACATATCGTTTAAAAGGTGCAATTGAAGGGAGGTTGGCCGGCCACGGGATTTCGCAGACAGGCGCTTACGCCCAATGAGAGTTGTACGGGCGGCCGAGAATCAAACCCTGAACCTCCGCCTCTTGTTTTTTTTCCCTCGAACATTTTGTGGAAGGATGAACGGAGGTCGACGTGTCTGATCCTACAAAACTCTTCTCATGCCCGCCAGTTCTCCTTGTTCTTAGATCCCTCCTCCTAGCTTAGATTTTGCTCGTCTTCAGGCTCCTCAGTAAGAATCCCACGGTCACAGATCCATCCCATCCACTCGGCTTTGATTTACTGCACATGCGATACCGGTCGATTACAAATACTCATTGCTGTCAATAGCTGCATTTACAAACAGTCAGTTCCTCGAGAAAGCAGTCCTCTGTTACTCCAAACCGTTGCCAGCCAGATTTTATTGGTCGCAGGACCCCGGCCTTCCCCTCCGCGGACCAATCGTTTCCGGATTCCACGACCTTGCGATTACCGAAAGTGAAACTGCAGCGTTGTTGCTGCTGAGAAATGCTTGATCGGATCATCCGGAATACGTCAATCTGAGCCAGGCTAAAAAATCGCTACATCATAACCACACGGTCCGCCGCTGCACTCTCTCAGAATGGGGATGACAAAAGCTCAAACTTCTCTCTTCCTCGCTATCTTCTTTGCTACTATAATACTCTGCGCTGTCGTCATTTGTACTTGCTTCTACTGTTATAAACCGAGCTTCTTCCTTGGTGGTCGACGGAGTAAACCGCCAACGGATTCTTCAGACAGCTACAGCAGCAGCGATAGTGGTGGTAGTAGCGAAGACGTCGAAAAAGCACCTCGTGGAAGGGTAGTTGGGTTAACAACTGTAAGTGCACAGATATTCCGTTCCTTTTCTTTAGATATCCGGGTATATTCCCACATATTTGTATATGAATCAGGCTGATGAGAGTGTACCCATAGGAAACGGCGGCAAGACATCCGTCGGACCATTCAGACTACGAGGCCGAGGAAATAGAAGTTCTCGAAGTAGAACCTGAGGACGACCACGGCCATCATCATCATCATCACATCCACGGCGAGCACATCGACATCATCGACGCTAATCCTCATTAGACTGGATTAAGCTTTTTTTTTTTTTTTTTTTTTTGCGGGTAGAGGGTTTTTAGTACATACGACACTGTCTTTATTTTTTTGTTTTATTGCGGGATTGAATTTGGGGGGAAACATTATATTTCATTTCTCAGAACCGGAGAATTTATTTAACGGCCGTCTATTTAATTGCGATCTGACCAGGATGATATTGAAACGACTTCGGTACGTGCATCCGACAGCATTCTTCTATCCTTGCCCTAATAACAAGTGGAATATTAATATGCTAATAACTTCATAGCGGATTTACTATTGCTGTTAGCATTTTGGCGTTAGTTTCAAATGGGCTTTCTGCTTGCCTTTTTCACAAATTATCGAGCGATACCACCTATCGAAGTTCGGATAGCCTCGCATTGTATACATATTTTGCTGCATTCATTAGCGGATTGGGTGTATATGGCTCCATAAGAGTAAGTGCAAACATGTGTCTTCCTTCCCTCCCGCCATTCCACTAACCCTTGCAGCAACACGCCTACACATTATCAATATTCGCAAATTTTTTTATTTTAGACACCGTTGTTTCAGTATTTTCGCGTTTTGTCCTGCTTTTTATATTTTCGACTTTCCGCGACCACCTCTGCGATGCAGAATCTCCTAGCTCAGGGCTACTTTCTTTAACATTACCCCATGGAACTTTCCACACAACCACGTTCAACCATATCAGCGATATTGTCGAAGCTGCAGGAGTAGATGGGGTCGGCCTTGGGCCCCCGGTTCCTAAATCGGAAGCATGGGGCTGTTCGGAGATGATGCAAATTTCTATCATGGTTGGGTGGATCGGGCTCTTCACCTCAATGTTGGTGCAGATGTTTTTCGCCATAATGGTGAGACACTATGCGATATCATTGTGGAAGACTGAGGATGGTTACATACCTTTGGATAATGCAGACTTGGAGGAGGGGAGTATTAACGATGAATTTAGGAGGGCGGGAAAGGCTTCACATCAGCTTGAGAAAGTCTGTTGACCTGTGAAATGATCTTACGTTTTTTAGTGCTACAGATTGATTAACATGTACGCAATCTACGAGTATCTGATTAATGATTGACGAATTTCCTAAGAAAACTGTAAATAACTATTTGTGCGTCCGGGCGGTAAAATTGTCGGAGCCGGAGTTCTCTAGTTTATTCTTTTATCCTTTTCTATACTCACATCTCTGAAACCGATGTTGTCTTTGATTCCAGATCTCGACAATCTCAAAGAGGTCGTCGACATGGCTCGCTAAATGTCTTAGCGTCTGGGGGTGGCGCCTTCGTTGCCGTGAGTGATCTGCACCACCACCACTCCTATCACACACGCCCAAGGACTTGCAGGGCCCAAAAACTCGGAACCTACATCATTTAGTGCAATATGACATCCACGATACACACGCCCCGGGGTTTATGTTTTGTTTTTGTTTTGTTTTGTTTTTCCTTTGCAGAAACGCCCGCAGGACTCTCGTCGGATACCCCGGGTTTAACCAAAGGAAGATGCGGCATGCGGTGTATTTAGTATCCTGCATGGCGTTGCTTAGAGAACGAAGCCCCCAACATTCGGTGAAACATCACTAATCCGGTGCTCCACCAGAATGGCATATATAGTCACATGTCGTTATTATAGATCTCAGCTCACGGTAGTTGAATAAATAAATAGTGCCACGAGTGATATCCTGTGATCATGATGCACGGCCTGCAGAGCTGGCATGTAGATACATATATATACATACATGTATCGCACGTTCCGGGTTTACTAGAACAAATTGCCTAAGGCGAAGATATTTGGAATGATGCTGTGGCGTTTAAATAGCTACCGATGACCTCGATAATATTTTCAGAATACCTGTGTGGAATTGTACATACCCATATGCATCTTCGTCATTACTGGGAGTGTTTCTTCTGCCTTGTTGCTAAGGAGCTGAGACTACATGAATTATCAATTTCGCCGAAGTACCCTAACCCTGGAAACACTCTAATATCTACAGGCTACCCGTATAAACCTGTTGAAGGTCAAAGCACCCATATCCGAGATTGACACTCGCTATCAGGTGCTGTAAGAAGCCTTGGCAATTTTAAGAGCCCAATGGCAATGAGTGCAGCTCGTGATTACTTATCATTGAGACGTTTGCACTAATAATGACTTGCGTAAGTACCTAGAGTACATACATCATGAAAAGGGGCGGTGAATCGGGTACGGAAACGGTAACGGTACTGAACCATTACTATACCCCCTCTAATCTAAAGCTTTCCATTCACCTCCGTGATGATGTTGCGGATAATGATTTCGTACATTACCCCGTTCTTTCGTACTATTGACGAGTCCTGGCTTGGGTGATATCCATCTACCTTTCTCGGCCCAATGTACCTTGTCCTGGTCCTCTTTGCGGCCCGGATACCCCTTCTAATACTGGTAAACCATCCTGGCACAATTGACCTATGTGCTAGATACCACACTCTTACAAAGAGGCATGATAACTCCAATTCACTTCATTCCTCTAATATCGATATAAAAACCAAATGTACGAAACTGCAGTCCTGTGCGATCGGTACCGTGATAAGGAGTCCAGAGAGAATAACTATTTCTATTCCGGCTCTCAAACACGAGCAGTTGAAATCTCTCCATCACTATGATTGCTATAACATTCAAAACATATCTTCGTACCCCTAGGTAAATTAGTACATACCTTCTCAGGGAGGTCCTCTCGTTCACTAGAAACCTCAATTCTAGGCACCATTGGACTCCTAGAATGTTTAGTGGTTAGCGAAATGTGCATCAGCCCCTCTATCACCAGCGCTAAGCTTCAGGAGATTGTGATAAAGTAAACACCAATTAAATGTGATTCTGCTAGAATCTGAAGGAAAGACAATCCCGATCGACTAAATCTAATTAATCGCAGTACTTTAGAATTCACACTAGTATCTTTTATCTAGATTTGTGTTCAGGAAGTTGAAAAACCTACTTCATTAAGTTAGTAACAAAGTCATCGGAACAATGTGTATCATCAAATTCGTCATCTTGTGAAACACGCATAATCGAATACATCAATGATCAAGATAGCAAGATTTCAACTAAAATATTACTAGTGCGGGTATCCCTCCCAATACAGCCAACACGTGATCACCTGCTCTAGCTGCATAGCGGCTCTGCCAACCGCAGAAAAAAAAGGCTTAGACAACCCAACCCACCACAACCCCCAGATTAAAAAATCACCCCCAGACTACACGCAATGGCCAAAAAGAAGTCGTCCGGCTCCTCCACTGAGACTGCACACCAGTTCGCCGCAGCGGCGCAATGGGACCTCGAACAAGACTACGAGCGCCGACCGCGAGCGCTCAAGAAGCGGACAGCTGAGAAGGAAAGCACCCGGCTTCCCATCAAGACTCCTGGCGGAGCAGTGCTGCAATCTGTGCTTCCGGAAAGGGCAGACGACAGCGAAGGAGAGGGCAAAGAAGAAGAATGGGCGGGAGTTCAAGAGGAAGAAAAAACCCAACCTGTGATAAAGGAATTAGAAGTCCGCTCGAAAGTTTCGGAGCGCCAAAGGGTGATAAATGCGAAGGAGGAGCTCTCAAATGCTGCAATTCTTCTGAATGAGGATCCAGAGGAGAATGTATGTTGTTTTATAAGAAGAGGAAGAAGTTTGCTCGGACATCTCGCTCATCGAATCTGTGGTTTAGGTTGGGCTACTCAAGAGGCTACGCGAAATATCGGGGGATAAGAATGCTACGATACAGAAGCTGGCGTTGGCGACACAGTTGGCTATATATAAGGATATCATCCCTGGGTATCGGATAAGACCCCTGACGGAAGAGGAGCAGAACTCAAAGGTTACAAAAGAGGTGAAGAAGCTCAGAGGCTTTGAACAGTCCCTAGTCGCAAACTACCAAGCATATGTTGAAAACTTGGCGGACCTGTCTAGAGGTATAGATTTCCTGTCTTCTTGGAGCCTCTCGGAATTAATCGCTAACCTAAAATAGCTTCCAGAAATGAGCATTCACCCAATGTTGTTGCTGTCGGAAAGATCGCTGTGAACTGCGCCTGCGGGCTTATCTCCACAGTCCCACATTTCAACTTTCGCAGCCAGCTTCTCAAGGTCATTGTTGAGCGTGTCAGTGTCAAGACCTTAGATGAGGTATTTATCAAGTGCCGTACAACGCTGGAGGATCTTTTCCGTAATGACGACGATGGCGCAGCTTCCTTTGAGGCAGTCCAACTGCTTGCAAAGATGCTCAAGGCCAAAGGTTTCATGGTTGACGAGTCCGTACTAAATACCTTCCTATCGCTGCGTTTGCTCTCAGAGCTCGACGTGAAGGCTTCTCTAGAAACAGTTGAAAATCCAAGAAAACGCAAGAAGAAGGACCGCCAATTCAGGACTAAGAAGGCCAGGAAATCAGAGAAGGAGAGAAAGATCTCGGAGAAGGAGATGGACGAGGCAGACGCAACAGTTTCGCACGAGGAGAGAGAAGAACGACAGTCTGAGACTTTGAAGTTGGTCTTTGGAACTTACTTCAGAATCTTGAAAGAAAGGCCGCCAGGACTTATGGGTGCGACATTAGAAGGATTAGCAAAGTGAGACTTTTCCGTCCCCTTGATAATGGGCTACCAGGGCTAATAACTGGATATGCAGGTACGCACATTTAATAAACTTGGACTTTTTCGGGGACCTCCTTGTGGCCTTGAAGGAGCTCATTGGAGCAGCATTGGAAGACGAGGAAGAGGATGACGATATCGAAACCTCAACGCAGCGCAACGCCACCCGGGAAGCGCTTCTCTGTGTCATAACAGCATTTGCCCTGTTATCTGGTCAAGGTATGCTTTTCTACCAGTCACATCCCCTCGGGTGGAGATTACTAACCCGCACATAGGCGAAGGAATGAGCATTGATCTAACCTTTTTCACAACACATCTCTATGCCACATTACTACCTCTCTCTATGTCCCCCGATCTCGAACTCTCCACAAAGTCTTTGCGACTCCCCGATCCGAATGATGCCACCCCGCCCTCAAAACGAATCAACGTATCTACCGAGATCGAGATGCTGATCCGCGCCCTCAACACAATCTTCTTCCAGCAAAATGCGAACAAGTCAAACACACCGATACGTATTGCAGCGTTCACAAAGCGGCTAATGACGTCGAGTTTAAATATGCCAGAAAAATCGGCATTAGCAACACTAGGGATGCTGAACAAAATGGCGAGGAAGCATCAACGCAGACTTCATGGGCTGTTCTCGACGGAGGAGAGGGTCGGTGATGGAACGTATAAAATGGATATCGACGAACCGGAGATTAGTAACCCATACGCTGCGACGATTTGGGAAACGGTTTTACTGAGAAAACATTATTCTCCAAAGATTTCAGAGGCGGCGAAGGAATTGCCAAAGCTATTTAAAAATAATCGGTCTTGATCTGGGTTGTTAGACTTCAGGGGAATTGTCTTTAAACGAGGACGGAATAAAAGCTTGTTGCGAATTTAATTCCCTCCCCTTTTTTTTTTTGACAAGATAGCGGAAATCTGGGAAACACTTAAAATCAATCTTCGAAAACTGTTTAAGCATAGAAAATCACTCGAAGTCTGTCCGAACATTCACAGTTTATCACTCGCTGAAATGTTAGCAATATATGACCCGTTACCAAACTTGAAGTTTGATAAGTCAGCCCATATAATACCTCTCCCCCACTCTGCTCACGCGGATGTGACGCTCCAGGTTGCAATCGATACTAGTTCCAGTAAAGTTTGTGGGTATATGTACACCCGCAGGAAAAAAGTGAGGAAACAACGAGTGCAACCAATCCGAACCCCAATGAAAAAGTGAAAATGGAAATGAATAGAAGTAATATGACTACACAATGAGATACAGAATAGATACTACGGCCTCTGAACTATATTTACCACTTTTTATGACTTCCCTTGTTCTTTACTACTGCTGCAATTCTCTTTGGTATGCTGTCAATGATTTTATATACATTTTCCCAATCTAG